TCTTCACGACATCGCCCCACCTCCAGCCCTACCATCTACAAAATCACCACCTCCAACATTCAACTCCTCCCTACATCTTCACGACATCGCCCCACCTCCAGCCCTACCATCTACAAAATCACCACCTCCAACATTCAACTCCTCCCTACATCTTCACGACATCGCCCCACCTCCAGCCCTACCATCTACAAAATCACCACCTCCAACGTTCGACTCCCCCCACATCTCCACGACTTCGCCCCACCTCCCGGCCAATCAGCTACAAGCTCACCAACTCCAACTTTCAACTTCCTCCTACGTCTCCGCGAAATCACCCAACCTTCAGGCCTACCATCTACAAAATCACCACCTCCAACTTTCAACTCCTCCCTACATCTTCACGACATCGCCCCACCTCCAGCCCTACCATCTACAAAATCACCACCTCCAACATTCAACTCCTCCCTACATCTTCACGACATCGCCCCACCTCCAGCCCTACCATCTACAAAATCACCACCTCCAACATTCAACTCCTCCCTACATCTTCACGACATCGCCCCACCTCCAGCCCTACCATCTACAAAATCACCACCTCCAACGTTCGACTCCCCCCACATCTCCACGACTTCGCCCCACCTCCCGGCCAATCAGCTACAAGCTCACCAACTCCAACTTTCAACTTCCTCCTACGTCTCCGCGAAATCACCCAACCTTCAGGCCTACCATCTACAAAATCACCACCTCCAACTTTCAACTCCTCCCTACATCTTCACGACATCGCCCCACCTCCAGCCCTACCATCTACAAAATCACCACCTCCAACGTTCGACTCCCCCCACATCTCCACGACTTCGCCCCACCTCCCGGCCAATCAGCTACAAGCTCACCAACTCCAACTTTCAACTTCCTCCTACGTCTCCGCGAAATCACCCAACCTTCAGGCCTACCATCTACAAAATCACCACCTCCAACGTTCGACTCCCCCCACATCTCAACGACATCGCCCCACCTCCCGGCCAACCAGCTACAAACTCACCAACTCCAACATTTAACTACCCCCTAAGTCTCCACGAAATCACCCCACCTTCAGGCCTACCATCTACAAAATCACCACCTCCAACTTTCAACTCTCCCCCACGCTTCCACGACTTCGCTCCACCTTCAGCCCTACCATCTACAAAATCACCACCTCCAACTTTCAACTTCCCCCCTCGCCTCCAGGACTTCGCCCCGTCTTAAAACACTTTTTTAGTACTTTGAAGAATTCCCCTCCTTAAACCTCTCAGCAATGTTCCCATAAATGAGACAATTATAAAAAAGTAAAGACCCTCACATAGGTACTATCTAAAAACGAAAATTAAGTTACCTCGCCTTATCCTTGTCATCCCCACAACTGATCTTCGATGTTCTCCTGTGGCACAGAAAAGTAAAAGGTAATAAACTTTGTTATAACTGGTATCAAATATTAATAATTTAAAATGTTGCGTATTAATAACAGAATAAAGTTTCACTTACTTTTGATTACACAAACATGGATTTAGTGCAACGGTTTCTTGCTGAGCTTTCCTGAAAAAAAAAAATAAAATAAAATAAATTAGCTCACCAACAATAAGTGTTAGCGAATCGATATAATGAAAATAATAATAGATAGGTTCATCAATCAGACGTGTATAACGCAAAAACTAGTGGATACTTTTTGATTCTTTTAAGTATACGGAAAGAAAGCAGATGTTTCCACTTCTACCTCATCGTAAAGTAAGCGAGCGATATGATTCTGTCCAGTTCCGAGTCAAAATGAACTCATCGTTTCCGAAACCAAATGACCAGTTTAAATAACACGGAAACAAATATACGAAAAAAAGTAATAAAACAGCGACAGAGAACAAGGTCAGTGTTGCAGGATACACATTACGATAAAACGTGCGTATTAATTAATTAATTACCACATACCTGGTCATCGGAATTTTTTTTTCGTATAT